GTCAACAGGTTATTCCTACATTGTTTATTTTTCATTCTTTGTCCAAGTTTCTTGGTGGCCTGGTTGCTTGGTTATGCTAATTGTTATTCTCCATTTTTCACTTTTCCTTTTATTTCTCTGTTCATGTTCTAAAGTAGTTTTTCCAGAGGCAAGGAAGCAATTGGGTGCATAGTTACAAGACTGAAAGATTCAGCGAGTCGCGTGTCCAATGTAATGAATAAAAGGAATTTTCAGAAGTTCCTCATTTGCTCTATAGCAAATGAAGAAATCTCAGATTTCCTATTCATTTTCTGCTAACCAATTGGTTGCAAACGCTAAATCCATCACAATCTTTTGGCTGGCCTGCTAATGATCATTTTACTTCCAACATTCATTTTAATGCTAATGACTTCTTGATCCCAGATTGAACTTGTATTACCTAATTAGCCTTCTATTTATAGGTTTAAATATAAATTTACAAGTGGACCAGGTCAATCCTAATTCTTGGGACAATTTCTCAGAGTCATTGTCCAAGTGTCTGAGGCAAATTTAATGAGTAACTTTCTCCACTTTTAACGTCAGTCCACATGTTACTTTGGTTGAGCTTTGATAACTACTACATACCTCTAATAATAATCATCTATTCTTTCCAAACAATGAATCAAAATTGTTTCTTAATGAAGGCTTTGCTTTTGTCACCTTCTCTTCTTCCCTCAACTTTTCATGAGTATGAAAATAGCCATTGGCGATTACATGCTTACCTAGGGAGAGAAGAGAGAAGGTTAGGACAAGGCAAATCCTCCCTGTGTGGAAATCCTGCTTTCACAGGAGAACCTAATTTGGCAAAGAGAGGAGGAATTGTGCCCAGAGAGTAGTCAAGATGAATGATCTATTCTCCCATTCCTTTAAAAAATATCAGGACATCAAACGTCAGGTCATTGACGATCTTGAGGCTGGTGGCCCGTCTGGAAATGATGATAGTAATCTCAATAAATTTTTTGACGATGTAGAGAATGTCAAGAAAGACATGGAAGATGTCGAGAAACTCTACAAGAGATTGCAAGAATCAAATGAAGAGAGCAAAACGGTACACAACGCAAAAACCATGAAAGAGCTCAGGTCTAGGATGGACTCAGATGTCTGTCAGGTTCTAAAACGAGTAAAGATTATTAAAGGAAAGCTTGAGGCTCTCGATAGGTCTAATCAAGCTAATCGAAAGGTTCCAGGATGCGGTCCAGGGTCCTCTACTGATAGGACTAGAACTTCTGTTGTCAGCGGCTTAGGCAAAAAGCTGAAGGATTTGATGGATGATTTTCAAGGGTTGAGGGCTAAAATGAATGCTGAGTACAAAGAAACAGTAGGAAGAAGATATTTTACGGTAACAGGGGAGAAAGCTAACGATGATCTCATTGAGAATTTGATTTCAAGCGGTGAAAGTGAGACATTCCTTCAGAAGGCAATTCAGGAACAAGGAAGAGGCCAGATTCTGGATACAATTTCTGAGATCCAAGAAAGGCATGATTCTGTCAAGGAGATTGAAAAGAATTTGATTGAACTCCACCAGATTTTCTTGGACATGGCTGCGCTTGTTGAAGCACAAGGGCAACAGCTGAATGACATTGAAAGTCATGTAGCACATGCTAGTTCATTCGTTAGGCGAGGCACTGAACAACTTCAGGACGCTAGGGAATACCAGAAAAACTCAAGAAAATGTACATGCATTGCCATTGGTCTTGGAATTGTTCTCATCCTCGTTGTTCTCTTTCCACTTTGGTCAAATTTTTTGTTGATGAATATGTAGAAAAACTAATCTTCAGGCCTTCCCCGCAACCCCCCAAAAAAGAGAGGCTGTTGGTGTTTCAGATTATGAAAACAGGCTCGGGTTTTGTAATTCAGGATACTTCTGGCATTGTTCTCCCTTGTAAACCTTTCCTTTCTTTTGTCACCTTTTCTCTTTACTCATTAGATAGTGGATATCAAGTAGAATACCTTCAGTTTCTTGCACTAAATAATTTCCATCTATTGGCACAAGCTCATCCTTTGATCTGCCAAACTGGACCTGCCACAATGCGTAGTTGTAGCGGATGAAGTAAAGCAGTCAAATATAATATAACTCAGAGTAGGATTTGATGTGTTCATTGGAGTCAATGCGTGAACTAGGCCATACAATTCTTCTCTTTTATATTCTTCAAATGAAAGACTAGAGGAATATCAAACAATCAAAACTTTCATAACTAGCAAAAAGAAGTGGAATTCACAACTATTATGGGACTGATTTCATGATTCATCTCTGAGTAAGCAATACAAGCAAACTAATGTTCTGCATTTTGTCCCTTTTCTGACATTCAAGAGCTGAGTACTTTGTTTTATAAATGCTCCTTTTGTCTAAATGATGGAAACAAGAATGATCTCAGATATTATCTTAGTGCTCATGCGTTGAGCAATTATCATGATGTAAAATTGGTCAACCCCAACCTACTGTGCTAAATGCACGAACATATAGCGCATCCGAGCCTTTGCTCGAATTGTGTATACTTTTGACAAATCTATGTCGATTAAAAAAAAATTAACACAAACCGAACTTACGATCTGTACTGCAGAATCAAGCGATCCCGTATAATTCCTAGATCCTGTCGTACCCGACAATTTTGTGGCTATACAACTGGCACTGTGCAAGATAAAAGAACGAGGCTGGCGGCACATAAAGATTCAGACACCATGCACTCAGTTTTTAAAGCTGATAAACTGTCAAGCCTCAAGCAATATACGTATGCCAGCCCACCTAGAGTACATAAAAGATCTTAGCTCAATGTTTAGGACATGCTCATTTGATAGTCATCCTGGTAATGGTAGTATTAATAGGCTCAGTGATAAACTGAGTAAGAAAGCAATGCACGTTCACTTTGACGAGGAGTTCTTTGATCCTCAGTGCCTCAATACACTTTTGTAAAATCCAAACTTGACCCCTTGCTCATATATTGTAATGTTCTTTATTAGTAGAAATAAAAACTTTTTATCGTTTCTGGGAAAAAAAAAAAAGACTAACCCTCTCATCCTCTAAGGCCATCACCAAGCTCCCCACAGATTATCTAAGCTTCAAACAATTGCAAGGCTAGGTTCAAGAAATTGCAAGTCCTTTCTCCCTGCACATTGTATAATCGGGGGGCTCGCAATGAAATGGGAATATTTTATGTGTACGATTGAATAGATCATGTGTATTACGTTTTATATATACATGTTGTATTAGTATCAATCATCCATCGCTAAATAATGATAGTGAGTCATTCCTTATCTAATGAATACTAAATAACAAATGATCATTAAAATACTTATAACTTTTAATCGACAGTTGATATTAATGTACCGTGTAATATTGTCGCCAACTACACATAGTGTACGTGATAATTCTTTGGCACAATCTATCATTCAGCTTTAAACATGAACTTGTAATAGGTAAACATAATACATTATCTTTGACCCTTCCATCATGCAGCGTTAAATGTGAATTTGTGATGGGTAAATATTTCTTTTTCTCTTCGATCACGTATCATTCTCTTTTAATCTCTCATGGGAACAATTCCATGATTTGCATTTGTAACTACTAAGATCAAGTGGCAACTTGCTCCTAGAGAGGAACAATACATGATTTTTACAAGGATTATATCGACAATGTAAAAACTGAATTTGACCGACTCATACAATGAAATTAGCGAAATAACCATTGCTATATTCGTGGCTTATAGTTAGAGCATTCCACGCACAACATTCAATTTCTGCTTCAACATAAGATATGTTCAGTTCTTAGGCCTTCATTTTCTTATTCAAAAGATTACCGAATTTGTCGTGTCCATGATGTTGAATCAATCAATTCTCTGAGAAAATGACACCTAATAAAACATTGAAATGTATCACTTGGTTAGTATTCGAAGTCTAAGTCGGATTTTCTATTTACAAGCCCAATTTCTTTTTTTCACCTTATTCTGTGGATTTTAAAAGAATTTCAGAAAAGAAGAAAAAAGAAAAAGAAAGAAAGTACACTATGCCAAAATAGTAATTGTCAACTTGTGAGGGCAAATAGAAATATTTGCTTCAAAAAAAAAAAAAAGAAAAAAGACATACTGGGCAATATAGAATTTTGGGTTAATCACGTTTTGCCCCGATAAATTTTGGGAGTAGTCACACTTTAATTCTCTCAACCTTTTTTTTTTTAACAACACACAACGATAAAAAGATATATATCACCTTCCCCTCCTCATGTGAAGAATAGCCATCTTGAAAATCTTAAACCCCATAAAAGACAAGTGTGTTATGGCATAATTGCCCTTTTGTTGCTGAAATTATTTAGTTTACTATTATCGGTTTTTCCCCCAAAAAAATGCAGTTTAATTTAATCTCTATTTTTCTCCTATACATTAGAAAAAACGCATATCAATCATTTTTAACAATTTCAATTAAGAATTTAATATTTGATTAATTTGACCAATAAAATATAATAATAATATTATTTTAATAGTTTACATAAACTAAAATAATAAACAACTATTTTTAAAAAATAAAATATCATTATTTCCTTTTTCTTTCAAAATTTTGCTATTTGTGTTTATTATTATTACTGTGTTATTTATCCCTTTGTCTAATTTAAAATTTAATAAATTGAACAAAGTATATATATAAATGATTAATTCAATAGGAAAATTTTGAACAAGAATAAGCTTTTCTGAGCTCTTATCAATTTGATATTTTTGTATAATAGATAATATACAGAAGATGTATATCTTTTAGCCAAAAAAAAGAAAGAAAATACTAGTAAACTATAGATAATTTCATAAATAAAAGCCAAGTGTGTCATTACACTCACTTTTTTTTATATTTCTAACTTCGACTAGTTTTTATGAGAATAAAGTGTGTATCTCTAAAGTTGATGGTAGTAAAATGTGACTATTCCCAAAATTCGGGGGCCCAAAGTTATATTAACCCAAGAATTTTTGTTTCTAATGCTTGGTCATCAACTGCGTTCTTATAAAGAATTGTCGTTTTGATCATTTCCAAAGCCATTCTTTGATTCATCACTTCGACTGAGCTAAAACCTCTATCCAAAAATGGCGTCTTCAATAGCTTCAATGGCGGCTCGACGAGCGGCAATCCTGACAACTCGGTTCGCTTCTCCTCCCAGCTCGGCCTCGCAAGCGGCTTCTCTCGTCCACCGCCGTGGCCTCGCCGCCGCCGCCGGTACCAACTTCAAACCTACATTATACTTTTCAAATCGATTTCCAGCCTTGAAATCTGACAATCGTTTAAAAATTTAATCTTGTAGATCATCATGGACCTGCGAAGGTGAACTTTTGGAAAGATCCAATGAGTCCGTCTAAGTGGAAAGAAGAGCATGTAAGTTCTCTTTGTTTATTTATGTATGTTTCTAATTTGAATCTTGTGGGATCATTTGTACTTTTATTTGTGAGATTAAGGTACCATTCTAACTGATGCTATCATAATCTGATGAGGGTTAATCCTAGTTTTCTTTTTCTTTTGACCTTGTATTCCCAAAAGGTTGGCCTTTTTTTTGGGCTGTTTATTCTTAATGTTAATTATTCAGATTAGCAATACTAATTACTTTTCTGATTTGAATTTTTTGGGATTATTTTGACTGTTATTAGTGAGATTAAGATACCATTCTAACTAATTCTATGATATCTGAGAAGCGTTGATCCTAGTTTTCTTTTTCTTTTGATCTATAATCACAAAAAAGCTGGCCTTTTTTTGGGCTGTTTACCCTTGATGTTAATTGTTCAGATTACCCATGCTAATTACTTTACCTTAGCTTTTGAAGTTAGGCTCGAGTTTGGTTGATAAGCATAAGATTTGAAATTTATATATGGATAAATCAAGCGACTCAAGCTGGGATAGACAATTTTAACCTTACAATGCAAACCAGGCTTGAATATTGTATTACTTGGCTCAATTGGGCTCATTTATATTGCTACTTTAGGTAAGGTTTGAAACTGTAATAATGGATTGAAATGGAAATATGGGTGTTGGGTAACTAAAAACTACAACATTGATTAAACTACAGTACTGTAGAATGGTTGTAGGAGTAGGTTTCCCGTCGCTTCAGAAGGTAATTTGCCTAGCATTTATTTGGACCAGGCAAAAGTTAGTACTTTATTCCTGTTTTTGCATGTTGGTTAGATTGAATAGGTCTATGTGCCTAAAGGCATGAATTTCTTATCCCTTTATTGAGTTCTAGGCATTGATTAATACAATAATCTTACTTGAAACTGCGAAGATGTCTTCTCTAGGATATATTCATGGTCCTGTTATCCTTTCCAAAGTATTATTTTAATGTATAATTGCAACTTGATGGTGCTATGAATTCTTGAAGTGGAGAAGATTGGAATTTTGCTCACTACGTGTCATGTATTGCAGCTTGTGATTATTTGTTGGACTGGCTGGGGTTTGCTTTTCACCACGGCTTACAAGTTTGCCACTGGAGGCAAAAAGAAGGAGGAAGGGGTAATCTTCTCTTGCTTTTCAAGTTTGATTTTTGTCATGTATTTAGAAATTTGCTAGTTGTTAAATTTATCCTCAAATAAAACTGGTTTTAACACTTATATACATGTATTACTGTTTACTTTCTGCTTTAGGAAACAGTACTTAATATGTTTGTCATTGTTTGAAGAAGTATCAATGAAAGGCTAATATCAAATGCCTCTTTTCCAGTGTCAGTAGCACAGGAAGGTTTTTCACTGGAGCATTTTGCAGATTTCATGTTTATATCCAGATTGGAAAAGCAAAACATTTCAAGCATTTGTGTGGATCAAAATGTCTAAAATTGAGTAGTTTTCTGCTTTTGCATTCATAAAATTGCTGATACTGTAAATGACAAAACTTGGTGTTAGTTTTTATAAAACATAAATTCGACTTAGTCTTTTTAATCTCAGATGTCTTTTTCTCAGTCACACCTGTTTGAAGTATATAGTACAGTATTGGGCCCTGTTAAGGAACTTTTTACTGGGGATTTCTGTATTCCCATATCATAGAAAGAGAAAAAACCAAGAAAAAAGCTTTGTGACAAGAAACTCTAAATCCTCCACCCTGCCACTTGAGAAAAGAATTCCCATATCATAGAAAGAGAAAAACCAAGAAAAAAGCTTTGTGACAAGAAACTCTAAATCCTCCACCCTGCCACTTGAGAAAAGGATGAATTTATAATAAAGGCGGAAGGCACAATATCGATGTAAGTGGAAGCAGATGACTCTATTTTAACAATGACATGCAACTACAGATGTATGAAACTCAAAATCTGATGGCTAGTTTGGAACACGATCTGCCCAAATTTTTAGTTTACATTGTCGTTATTTGTATCTTATGCTGCTATGACATGAATTTACTTGATATTTTGCAAAATCTGATGGCTGATTTCTTATTTTAATCTTATTTTTGCAGAATGTAGTCGAAGCTTCAAAGTAGGCCGAAGACACCCAAAACCCATAATGTTAGATGTCAGAGGTTTCCTTTCACATATGCACTTTACATTTCCAGTTTCCTTTCTCACTGAATTGGGAAGTTCTCTTGATCCCTGTTCATTGAATAAGTTCTAAGACAAGAATGCGATGTAATATGTGTGAATGACATCTATTGCTGGGAAACTAACTAGTCAGTTATTAGGCATTTGGATCTTGGCATTCTAAGCATGTTTTACGTTGCCTGTTAGAAACAATTTATACAGCTGAAGTTTTTGCTTCTACACCAGAATGTTTTCTCAATAACGTCTTGGTGCACAGCCAAACTTCCTCCATAAGCTTCAATTTCAAATGCTCTTATTTTACTTTTCCAAATATGTATGTTGAAGCTGCAGGTGGAAATTGATAAGGTTTTTGGATCCTAATCATGTGCGGGGTGATTCTATCATTGTCGTTGGGGGTAAACTCATCAGAAGTGATAATCTGTAACCTATTATGGTTGTCACTTGTTAGACTTGTATTTGACGATTGATCTCATCAATTTCAACTATTTTTCTTATGATTTTGTCTGAATTCTTTGCTAACTTTATCTAACCTTTTCTCCTTCTTTACACCCCAAGAATTAGGTTGGACATTAGATAAGGTTTTTCTCTTAAGGGAAGGTTTTTACTGTACTCTCTTGACTTGCACAGTTGCACTAGGCCCCTTCAAGTTCGAGGTTAATATCTCCTCACCCCATTTTTTAGCTACTTAAAACCTATTGAGTAAACAGAAAAAAAATAACAACCTCGAAGTTACAGGCGGTTAATGTTCAATTCTTCTATGTTCAATTCTTCTGTTATATAAGATTAACAGATCTAACAGTTGAAACACTTGCATGCAGCATGTATCCAGTGAAATGGTCAATGAGACATGGAAATGACCATAAGGACCGTTAGACTCCAATGAAATGTCTCATTTTCATCGCCTTCTTCTGTTTGACATCTGGTGCACAATCATGTTAACTTTACTGGAAAAGGAAAGGAAAAGAACAATTTCTAAATGAGTATATCTAACGTTTAAAAGGGCATAAACTTGGAGAAAACGTCACAATCTGACGTGCTCTCTGGTAAATTTGCCTAGCTTACCTGACAAAAAGGCCTAGTGGAATAGTGCAGTATTTTGATAAACAGATGCAACCGCCAGCTTGATAAGACTTGTTTTGTAATGGCTATGTAGATAGTTTGATAAGTTGGCTATTGTAGCTACATAAGGTTTGCTTTGACTGTTAGCAAAGGGAACTAAGAAACAGAAAATACCAATTCTAGGTCCAGAGTGATATTGACATTAAGCTTCGGAACGTGCAACTTACTTCATTTTAAGACTTTTTTACCTGGTTGTAAAATTAGCTAATCAAGGCTGCAATTTGTTTATCTGCCTCTACTTTCTTCTGGAAGTCTGTCATCTTCATTAGCTTTTGGTATACTTACAATTCTTCAACTTAGATCTCATATGTATGGGTATAAATAATGAAGAAGTCCTTCAAAAGATAAAGCAATAAAATTCCCCAAATGCAGCCATGGAAGTATCGTTTGTAAAGCTCTAATTGTATCCAATAAACATCGACCGTCTATATGCACCTACTAATACTCAGGCTCGTTAGATCTGTCAGAGTTCGATTCTCCATCTGTTACAAAATCTGATGAGGATTCTCTGGAAGCATCACTTTCTGATTCAGTCTCTTTAAAATTCTCCATCTCAGGATTGTCTAGTTCTTTGTCATTGCTACCAGTCTCTGTTTGTTCTGAAACCTCATCTTTATGAGCATCTATTCTCTCTTCCGGTCGATGGAGCTCTACGGCTTGTTTCTCTGATTCTTCCAGATATGGTTGTTTCTGATGTTTGGCTTCTGAGGATGTTGCTTCCTCAATGTGGATGGTTGTGCTTGTTGGTGTGTCCTCCAAGGGAATGTTTTCAAGTTCAGTGCTTATGCTTGTATTATTTAGTGTCTGCCATTTTTCTGCCATCAGATGAGTGGTAATATTTCTATCTTCTTGATGTTTTTCTTGCTTTAGCAACCGAATGCCTTTTGGCCCATCCTTACCCTCTTCTGTGTTGTTTTCTGCTTTTTTCGGGTCCAAATCCTCTTGCAGTTCACCATGCTCTAGAAAATTTTCATTGGCCTCCATTTTTGAATTTTCACCCGTTTGAAGATCATCAGATATCTTTTTATCATGATACACTGAACTGGATTCAGTTACCACAGTCAAGTTCTCATTTATGACTGCAACTTCTTTGCTGACGGAGTTCCCTGTGCTTCCTTTACTTCTATGTATTTTATTCAGCCATTTTCTTTTAGTCTTCTTTAAATAGCGATCTCTTTCCAGCCTATTTTGCCAAATCTGGGGTTGGTCTGGCACTTCTAACTTCATTCCGCCCTTGTAAGTAATCACAGCGTCTTGATTTTCAGCACCTTGGGCATTAACTATTTTCCCTGCAAGACCATCCCCTGATGTTTGAAGCACGTTACTCTGAGTAGTTTGCATTTCATTCATATCATCTGAGGCCCTTTGCACTTCAGCATCTTGGTTCCCAACAGCCTCAGTCCTTGCAATGTCATTATTTTCTGGCATTACTAAAGCTTCCGCACTTTGAGACTTAGTATTGATGTTCTTACCTGCATCTCTATCAGTTCTTTCCCCAGCAGGGGTGCTTCTATTTTCCGACATACTTTCTTCTGAATCATCCACTTTATGACTCTGTTCTCCAATCTCTTCTCTGCTTGCAACATTAGTTTCTCCATTCTCCATTCCATCTTCACTTGGTGTTGTTTGCTCTTCATTTTCACTGATCACAGTTTTGCTTCTGCCGCTCTCTGCTTGTTCTGCTGAGCTGTCTGCAACATCATGGTTTGTGGATTCATTCATCATGGCACTAACTTGCTTTCCATCATTAGCATTTGCTTGATCCCTTTCTGTCAAACTTGTCTTGGTTTGCAGATTTATAGATGCATTTGATGGATCGTCTGTGCTCACTGACCAGACCCTGACAGGAGCTTCAAGGTGGTTCTTCAACTCTTCAACTCCCGATTCTTTCTGCTTTGCCATCTGTGATAGGGCTTTAAGTTGAGGGTTATCATTGCTGACATATGTCTCTCTTCCTCTGATTAGTTTGATCTCATTTTGCTTTTCCTCGAGTGCCAACTCAATTGTCCTTTGTTCTTCTCTAAGGGAAGAGATTGTAGATCGCATCTCCATGATTTTACCGTCAAGTCCCCTTTTTTGAGTTCGAAGAGTATTTACTTTGGCTTTCATCTCTTCAAGTTTCAATTTAGTTTGTCTGGCATGGTCTCTTTCCTTCTGAAAAATAGTGCATAGGGCATGGTCTTAGCACAGAGATATTGCCTCCAAAGCAAATATTAGTTATTCCATATGCATTACTAACATCACTGTATTTGGAAATGTTTCATATTCCAGATTGTAGGGCATGAGTTGTTAGAACATATCCTGCATACCATTATTTGCATAGAATTGCAAATGTTTTCTAATTTAGACGGTGAATCATTGGATGTTTGTATCTCCCTGAACATTGGAAACTTAAAACTCATCTCCTCCATAATTTGTTAATTGGAAGTTTAACTTTGGGAATTAAATCAGAAATCACTTGCATCTTTAGAACCATAATTTGGAATCGGATTTACTTGAGATTCATTTAGCTAAAATTAGTAGGAACGAAAAATTGATATCCATCATCACTTCTGGCCAAGACTATGTAGAAATTGAGTGTGAAGTTCCTTGAAATCGAAAATTGCAGGTATACTGTAATGATGCTTCTCAAAAAGCCAATATTTCCTACTATAAAATTTCCAATCTAACCTTAGTCGCTTGGGAGTTTTTCACCTCGTGCTCTCTAACTACCTTTGACTCACTAGCTGGTACGTTGTCATATGTCCTCTTTACAGTGGTGGTTTCATGCAAAGCAATAACATAGTTTCTTGGGATAAGAAGGGAGGCCTAATCTACTCCCAACAATGCTCAAAGAATATTACAATAGCTGCGCCTTTTTTGTTCTAGTGCTAGGGCATGTGTCAAAAGATTCAAAGCCAGTCAGGTCTTGAATCTGTTTAAACTCAGTGATTTCAGAAATGATTGCAGATAATCCTGACTATACTTTTCTATAGAATGCTAGGAAGAAAAGAAACTTTAGTGTAGTCTATTGGAAGAAATAGCAGTCTAATGTAAGAAGAATAGCACATCAATGGTAGAAGAAGATGATTGAAGAGAGAAAATCCTCCAGTGAATTGTACAGATATCAGTTATAAGCATGCTGCAACCAACAATTCTGTGTACTTCATTCATGCAAGAACTTCAGGAAGAGATGTATAGACTATAATTAAGGAAGAGATGAGGAGCTTGAACCTGCAGTAGAAGCTGAAGAGTTGTGAGTTCACGGTCTTTTTCTGTGACAAGAATGTTGAAAATTCGTCTCTCTCTGAACTTGTGCACCACCATAACTCCAATAATGGCAGCTCCAAATGCTATCAGAAGCATTAAGCCATAAGGCTTCCCTCTATTGCTACCACCATGTCCATGATGATTCGCCTTCATCAGTCCCCCCATTCCCTTAATCACTCTTCCTAGGACTGCAATCTAACCTCAGAAGTGAAGCATGAAAGTGATAGAATCAGAAGTCCTCTCTCTTTGGTAGTAATCTCTTACGTGTTGTGCTTTTCTTTTCAATCACAGCTTTCTTGTTGGTTTAGTCATCTAAACTGGACCTTCAAACTGCTTTCTTCTCTCTCCATACACATTGTAGCGGAGTTAACAAGAATGAAGAAGGTGCATGGGAATTGTGTCCAAAGGCTTAGATGATGGAGACTTTTATGCAACTTTGGTTGTTGCTTTCGAGGAGTGTTTTGCAAATGAGTCAAAGACTGCCCATCGCAAAGAGTGATCAAAAGAAAAAAAAAATCTTTTCTTTTCTTTTTTTGTTTTTTCAGTTCAGGGCTTAAACTTTGATTAAATTTAAACTAGCACTTTTCTAACTGTTAATTAGGCATGCACACGAACATGTGAGTTCTACCTGTTAAGGTTACTTTTAGCCAAAAATCACTTTTCCTATTTAAGACTAGCACAATCCTTAATTCTTTTCTTAATAATAATGAACAAATCTTTCTATACTAGTTCTACACTAGTAGCAATTTAGGAGACAAGGCGCTAAAAAACACTTAAATGGGTTGTTAATTTCTACGTTTTTGCACTCGGAAAATCTGCGTACGTTATGACACAAAAAATGAAATTTATCATGAAATGCAAGTTTTTGCTGGTGTATCATGAAATTTTACCTATTCAAATGTGTTAGAGTTTGCAAGTAATATTTTGAGTACATACT